CCCTTTTAAACAATAAATGCTTTGCCCTCCTCACAATGTCCCAGGTGGAGTTTCCTCTGGAATCACGGAGCGGGGGAGAAACAGACATGACAACTAACAGCATTTTTCCCAACCCTGTGATGTGGAACCTACCAGGACACCTGGGCGTCTTGTGGGCCACGGCCGTGCCGCTGATGGGCCTTCCGTTGGGTGTGACACACCAGCAGTATCCTGTGTAACTGTGGCATTGGACCTGCAAGAAACAACACGATGGCCACCAGGAGAACTCTCCAAGAGAGATCCACTTCTGCCACTCCAGCGTGAATGGTGCTGTGAGCTGACACACCAGTTGGTAAGCTCTCCACTCCTCAGTGCCTGAGAGATGCAGCCTATGGCTCATCAGCAAATGAGGCCCAGAGAAGGCAGGAGAACTGCCCAGTGCCCAGTAGGTCAGTGACAGAAACTGATGAGCAGATGGTGTCTCTGCCACCTTCCCCTGCCACTTACAGAGTGGATGGACTTTCTCCACCCACCCCGCTCGCGCTCTCGTTGAACTCTCAATGGTCATATGACTGTTACAAAAACTACACCGAACGTAATTATGATCTGATGAATTAAAGACAGTGAAGGTAGCAGATCATGTTTTCCTTCCACAACTACGGGTTAGCACAGCACTTTAAAAATGTTTCTTCTTAATAAGGAATCATAGTATGGAAAGGTTTCAACTAACGCCTTCGAGCCAGAAAACCAGGCTAGTTTCTAGACAATCCTTGGTTAAGTTCTTGACCTTGGCTTGGCCTTGACCTGAGGCTGGCCTCAATGTTCACTCATAGAACCACAGCTGAGTAACGTGTCCTGGCTGCTCCCTTAAAATGCACTGAAACTGGAATGAAATTCTACACAACCTTACAGATCCACGTGGGTCATTCACCTGGCTGGGAAGCTGGCCACACCACGTCATCAAGCACAAAGATGAACTTCAGTGTCAGGGGCATAGACACCTGCCCCAGGTCAAGAACAAACGAATTCTCTTTCACCCTCACCTACAAAGACAACCCTTGTAACTAATTAACTTCCTTCTATAGCCCTGCCCTTGAGTACATCTCCCCATGGCCCAGGTGCAGCCCTCCTGAGCCCCAATAGGCACACCTGGCTGTAGGTGCCGTCATCATTGCACTCGGGAATGAACACCTGCTGGAACTCCTTCCGAGCTTGCTCCTGGGTGTACTTCCTCTCGGCCACACACCTGGACACATCTAAGGGAGAGAGCACAGCGAGGCAGGAGTTACGCAAGGTGAAGATGACAAGAGCAGCTCCCCAAGTCATCGGCGCATGCTGAGATGCAGGGACTATCTGGGGAAGGGCAGGTGTGTTTACAGTGTGAGCTAAGAGAGCAGGCACCATCCCTGCAGTTTGGCCCTAGGGGGCTCAGGTCCTCGCTAGCAAAGCATATGACAGACGGACTCCCTCTGGGTCCAAGGACAGTGACCCCAGCACACCAGGGCCAAATCTAGACACGCAGGGGACAGATAGGCCTCAAAACGTCAGTTAATATCAGCCTTAGAGGAAACATAACTGGGACTGAGAGACAGAGTCTGCTTGTCCTTAGGGAAGACCAATCACAGAAGGGCACCTTCCAAGGGAGTCATGGTGATGGCCTCAGACATACTGCTGCTCAGGATGGTGGTTCAGGAAGTCACCATCAACAGGCGCCACCTCCACATGAGTGATCAGAGTACATGGACAGATGGACACCCGCACTCAGCCCAGGTTAATGTGAAGATGGCCTGTGATGGAACGTGGCCTGTCTCATTTCTCTGCCTCTTGGTGCCAGAGGATTCAAACCTGGACACCAAATTCCTTCCTGCCTCTTCCAGCTTCAAATGGATAGAGGATCAAATAGTCGCAGCACTCTCCCACTCTACCCAAATGTCCACGTGTCCTGTGACAACTACTGCACTGTTCTGGTTTGATGTCATGTAGTCCGTTTCTGCTGTTTAGGAAGATCATGCCTAGGACCAACAAATTCCTACCAAGGGACAAGTCTGAAAGCATACAGTGCACAGAGGCTAGCTCGGGGGAGGGCCAAGCAGGACATTAGGTGGTCATGGTGCCTGAAGAGTCGGCTCCAACTCTGGTGAATTATTCACAAATCAGAACAGAATGAAGGCCAGCCCTTCACCCTCTTCACAGTCCACAATCTCTGCTGTGCTCTGACTCACTGTTCCAGTCACTGTGCATGCTGAGTACCTTCCACGCTCAGGGCTTCACCTACCAGCACTGCATCCATCACACAGGCTTCTAGGCTGAAAGCACAGTGCCACACCTTTCTTCCTGCTGTCTTAACCTGGACGTCCCACTGAAACCCGTCTACCATGGGCGACCTTGCTGGTATCGGAAATACTGGTGGTCCAGAGTCCAATATCACAGCAACATGCAAGCCACACTGACAGATGTTGTTGTTGTTAAGTGTCGTTGAGTTGGTTCCAACTCTTAGTGACCCTGTATAGGGTTTCCAAGGAGCCTCTGGTGACCTTGAGGCTCAAACTAACTCTGCACATCAGCCCACGGTTCCACACTAGGACTCCCCACTGACAGATGGAGGGGTAGAATCAGGAAAAGCAGAAACAAGATAATCAGTCATGCCAGATGTCAATGCCACAAGCGAGGTGGTGGCATGCAGGTGAGCCGGTGGCTCCGTCTCATTTTATCATACTTCTCCTCAACTGAGAAGTAGTGAGTATAGGACTGCCTGGGCAGAGACTACTCCCAGACTTCAGGTACAATCACGGGGACATTCACAAAGGCTCCGAGGAGCCGGGGCAGTGAAACATGTTCTCAGGAACCAGCATGTCTCCATCTGAGAAGAGTTGGATGACATCACCCGGCCTGAGAAATACAACCACAAGTATATGTTTGACTTCTTGAGACCATCCTAACATGCAGCTCCTTTGAATCCTAAGACTTGAAAAGAATGGGTTTCCCAACTTTTCTCAAGTGTTTCCAGATTCAAATTACAAGGGTCGGAATGTCAGGGAGCGCTTAAAGGAGACTTCAAAGGTTGTCCACTCTCCAAGGTCTTCCGATGGAGACTTTCTGGATGTCCAGGAGTTGAAATCTGCTGGCACAGCAAAGCGCTGGCCTGGACTCCACCATTCTGTGACCACACTGGTGCACGCTCGAGCAGGCTATACATAGTTCATGCCCTGAGAAATTCTTCGAGACCTTTGCATGGCTTGTGCTTTTCTGGACCACTAGGGCAGCCCACCGCCTTGTGCTTACAGGCCTCTGTGTTTAAGAAAAAGCCTCTTTCATCCAGCCACTGGGGCCCTGAGTCTTATTCTAAACCTTGGCCCAGCCAGCCAGCACTTAGCGACATGTGGCTTTAATGTGGCTCTGGTAAATCACAGCCTTGGAGAACTTCTGTCCTTTGACGTTTTAGTATAACCTGTGGTTAGCCTGCCTGAAAGGAAAAGTGATATGTGTTCCAGCTTGCGAGGTCTCTACTAGGGTACAGATGGAGTTATAAATTATTTCTAATATCTGAATTTATCATAAGGCCGGCCAAAAAAAGTGCGTGCGTGCTCAAACACACACACAAATTTTCCAAGCAACTTTCCAGCTTCATTCTCCGTTTTGGATTTCTCCATGTAAAGACTTCACATTTGAAACCGATCAAGTTTTTCCAACCTGTAGCTCCCTCATTTATGGAATCTAAAGTCCAAGCTTATGTCTAACGTTTTACAAATGATTCAGTCATAGAAAACAATTAGGATTTAGTAGCATGAAGCTATAGAGCCCGTGTAAGTCATGTCTTCAAAGCAAGACTGCAGTCGCTGTGTGAAACAAGATGCCAAACCAGGGTGTTCCGATGACGTGGGCCAGCTCTCTACCTTCCTTAGTCCAGACATGTGGTGGGAACTCACACATATGTAAGGGCCTTCCTATGGAGAAGAGTCTGCTAGCAGCCAATACAAAATCACCATCTTCTGAATATTTACTTTAAACCATCACATAATGAATAAAGGCACCTCTTCAACTAAATAAACTAAATGTTTCTCTTTACAGAAGTCAAAATATTAAAGATACCCTCAACTTTTCAATCACCTTCAAATGAATGTCATGGAACAAATAAAAAATCTCCCCTTGCAGTTTGTTTGTTGTTATTGTCAGGTGCCATCAAGTCGGAACCGACTCATAGCGACCCCATGCACAGCAGAACGAAACAATGTCC